GTCCGATCAAAAGTAATTGGCAAGGGAAATGTTGATATCATCTTCATTTCCTGGAAGATCGTTACTTTAATAAATGTACTTTATGTTCCCGACATGAATAGGAATCTAATGAGTGGAAATCTCTAGGGAAAATCAGGCATAAAGTGTATTTGAGTACAGTAAACTTATATTATCCATTAACAAAAGATTTGTTGGAAAATGCTATTCTTGTGAAGGAATGATCAAATTGTGTACCGTTGACAAATATTTGATTAATAAAGTTGATTTTGCTTATGTCATTGATTTATTTTCATTATGACATGATAGATTAGGTCACATTGGTAAAAGAATAATGCATATAATGATGAAATGTGATTTGATTTCATATGATGTAAATGATGAATTTAAATGCAAAACATGTATAGAAACTAGAATGACTAAAAGACCATATCAAAGTGTAAAACGGATCTCAAGTATCTTAGAGTTAATTCATTCAGATATATGCGAATTAAATTGAATGCTAACTAGAGGTGGAAATATGTATTTTATTACCTTTATTGATGATTTCACTAGTTACACTTATGTTTATCTTATGAAGCATAAATATGAGGCCTTTGATATGTTTAAGATTTATAAAAGTGAAGTTGAAAATCACTTAGGAAAGAAAATTAAAAACTTAAGAAGTGATAGAGGTGGAGAATACTTCTCTAGTGATTTTAATATGTTTTGTGAACTATATGGCATTATTCACCAATGTTCTGTACCTAGGACATCGAACAAAACAGTTTGGCTGAAAAGAAAAATAGAACCTTAGTTGAAAGGATTAATACTATGTTATATGCTAAGCTGCCATTTAACTTGTTGGGTGAAGCTTTATAGTGTGCATGTAGGATATTAAATAGGATTTTGTCAAAACATACTAAGGTGTCTCCTTATGAATTGTAGAAAGGGAGAAAACCAAACATTGAATACTTCAAAGTGTGGGGGTGTCTTGTGTATTGCAAGAACACGAACCCTAGAAGGATCAAGTTGGGACCAAGAGGCAATAAATGTGCCTTTGTAGAATATGCTAACAATAGCAAATCTTA